GCGAGGGAGGGCAGGGAGCGACGCAGGGAGACCTAAGACAAGACCGTGATGGGACATGTGACGCAGACGCGGGAGTGCGGGGTGAGCTAAGCAGTGGTGCCACAACATTAACGGGTGGGTGAGCGACCGACACGAGCAAGCGGCAGCAACGTGGGAGGACGCGGTGACCAAGGGGGACACTCCCAGTAGGGGGGACGCGGTGTCTATGGTGAAAAGGCCAGACACAGGGTCCCGGAGGAACATGGTGAGAGGGGCACAAGTGGCGGCCTCGATACAGACTATGTACCGCTCGTGTCCAGGAAACGTAGTGGTGACGCCAAGGTCCTGAACACAGCCGACACCAACTAGGTTCCTGGAGAACGGGGGGATGTGCAAGCCTGTAAGAGATCCCGAGGGAACCGCCGGACAGGGAAGGGTAGTGGAGCTACGGGCAACTAGCGGACCAGATGAGGGGTCAGCAAGCGCTACAGCAGCAGGGGCAGCAAGCGGCATGAGCACAGTGTGGTCGTGAAAGAAGCAGGCAGACGCACCAGAGTCTAGCGTGAACGAGAGAGCGACGGTAGCAGCCGCAGGCAAAGGAGCTAGAGTGGAGCCGAGGCTAAACAAGGCAGGTGGTCCTACGCCTGGCGCAGCAGGGGAACCTAGACTACATACAGTGGACACACCTACACTAGGCAACACCGGATAATAAGGTCCAGTCACACTAGAGTCATCAGCATACATGACATACATAGCAGACCTAATCTGATCCATGTCAAGCTCAAAGGCAGGGACACGGCGACGCATCAAGCTGTACCAGTCGGGGGGGTCCGACGTGGGGACTAAGCGGAGTCGGAAGAGGTCATCGAGGAGGCGGTAGCAGCAAGCTGCGGTGTGACCTGGATGGTCACAGACAGTGTCTCGGCGGGGTCTGGACTGAAGCTGGTACTGGCAGGTGACCACATTGGAGTAGTGGAGAGCAGTGGAGAGCGGTGGAGAGCGGTGGAGAGCAGTGGAGAGCAGTGGAGGGTGGTGGAGAGTGGTGGAGACAGCCGGCGATAGCGCCGACGCAGAGGGGAGCCAAGGCCGGCGGGTCGGAGCGGCAGAGCGGCTCAGCGGCTCAGCGACATGGCGTCACGGCGGCCCGGCTCGGTGGGAGCTAGGGGCGGCACTGGCTGGGGCTGGCGGAGCTGGGGCCGGCGAAGCTGGGGGCGGCGGAGCTGGGGAGTCCGTCTACGCTGGATCCTAAACCAGGGGAGAAAAACATGGCAGCCATAAAAGTTAAAACGCACAACATAAGCATCGGTTTGTACCGAAATTGCATAACTGAGACCAGCAGTGTACTGTAAATAGAAAGGAAATGTTTAAGGTCCAACTACAAGGCATAACGACTCCCATGAAAATACCGAAATTCCAGTCGGAGCAGTCGACGGGATATAACAATCACTGACCATCCTGCTTCGTTGAAAGAGAATCTGACCTAAACAATATCACGGAGCGGGGTGAAAGGATAGATGTTGCACGAGGGAATGCGACTAGCAGCTCGCACAGAAGGGTCGCACGTTGAAAAAAAGGGCCGCTAGAAGAGGGGAAGGTATGCGGGAGGAAAAAAACGGAATAAAGGGTCAAACATATTGTCTAAGGCTATCTGCTGAATTTCCAACTATGGGAGGGAATGGGTTCAGCAAAAATGCAGAAACAAGAAGTGAAGCAGCTAGATGGGGAGAAGTGAGGAGGGATGTTACAGGATCGAATGTGTCAAGGAAAAGTTGCACTATCGATTGATACAACGCGCTTTTATACTTCCGAGGTACATCAGGTAACCAGGTTTATCCTATCCAAAGGGAATAGACCCTTCTAGAAATAGAATCACCCTGCGCGTAGCCATGCGAGGCTATTGGCTTTAAGGAATTATGGCAGGATTACGCTAGATATAGCGCCCCAATACATCCTGAGCCTGGTTGGTGATATAATTGCAATAACAGGATAACCCAACGGATAATGAGAAAGGAGGAACAGGAAACCAAATGAGATGTGATAAAGTTCAAAGGAATCAGGATAAATAGAAGAATGAGATAGAGGGAAAGGATGGAAATGAGAAAGAAGTGTAACAGGGTCGTACTCTCACACTTCCCCTCCTCAAAGCTGGGTGGTAAAAGTAACACCCTGCTTCACAAGGTAGTCGCGAAGAGGACGACGAGCGTTCCCCACCTTCCAACGAATGAGAAGCTCCGCAGTGCCCATTCCGACAACAACGGTGTGCGAGCACGGACTCGACCTCGTACTCGGGTTCATCGTGGACAAGGACGGGTGGCAGCGGCGGCAATTGGCGTCTGGCGAAGACCGTGTTCGGATCTCGATATGGCTTCAGAAGTTGGAAATGGAAGGCATTGTGAATCTTCCAGGGCAGGCATAAGCAGAGGGTAACAGGAGTGACATGTGCTTCGACGAGAAAGGGCCCGCAAAAGCGAGGTCGCAGTTTGGATGGGAGATGACTGATGTCGAGATTGCGGGTGTCGAG